CATGCGTCAGATGGCCATAGCGTGTCATTGTTTACAAACAAGCGTCTACCCATCTTCGCTTAGGACTCAATTCCCGCGCGTGCGCAGGTGACGACCCTCCCTCTTCAAGATGGTTGTATGACACTAGAACCTATGACCAGTTCCTCCGACTTTATTATTGAGCGGTTATTCGATCATACATAGAAAAAAATCATATATTGCTATACTTGTAACTTGTGATGTTCACGCCTTTTTAAACAAATTATTGTGATAATTGCTGGCTTCTATTTATTTATCCGCGACCTAATAGTTAATATTACTAAGCTTTCGCGAATGACACTGTCATAAGCAATATCACCGTATAAAATACTAATCTATCGATTAAGCCATGGAACTATCTAAACAATAAGTAGCATTCTACATATCATTATATTATTTTACTTACGACAATTGACCTCGTCCGAGTTGTCTTTGCAGTCCGACACCCCATCACAATACCATCGGTCGTTGATACATGCTCCAGTAGCACACTGAAACTCACCAGGGGCACACGTCGCATAGGCTAAAAAACAGAAAACGCGGGTGATATGTTAAAGATTACCCTTGCCGCATATTGTGTCATTCGTGAACTGCAGTGTTTTACTTTACAGTAATATCCCAATCATACCAGTAAATGGAGTGTATATTTCCAAACTCATTCGCCATTCATGACAGGGGTTTTCTAAAGAATGATATGTGATTTAATATATAAAACCAAATCTGTTACATCAATGTTACATGAGCGTCTCTCATTAACAATACCTAGAATGATATATACGAAAGTGTCGCAAACAGAAAGAATTCAGCTGTAGTGAAAAACTTTCCAAAAATGTAAATCCATTCATAGCCTTGTGAGTTATAAATTAAACAAAAAAGTCCCAAAATCGCCGTTTCTATGGCAACCACACCCACCCATTGGACAAAGTGATGTCTGGCAACTTATTTCAAGTGTCATTTGACAGTTTCATGGTTAGTTTCATTTACTTCAAATAATTTGGTTTGAACAAAAAAAATAGTTAATGAATCTACTCACAACAATTTAGTTCATCTTCAAGATTGGAACAGTCCACTATTTGGTCACACAAGTAGTAACTAGGAATGCAGGCGCCATCTTGACATTGATATTGATCCGGTCGACAGGTGATGGTTTGAGGAGTGCCTATACAACAAATACTTACAGTTATTACATGACACGTGGTGCATATCACTAATAGTAGTAATGTATGTGTGTGTGTGTGTTGGTATAAAAGTAGAAGTGGAGCCACACCAACACACCAACGAAGTGGAGCATTTTGTACAAGTGGAGCCTCAAACATGGGGGCTCACAATGTCTCATAATTTATATTAATATTTAAGTCAATTTCAACTTATATTAATATTAATATAATTGTGCCATATCTCCTCCATTACTAATCCTAAGTGTCGCAAACATTTCTATATTTAGTCACGGGCGAGTCAACTTTTACTTAATTAAACTTAATTCAAACCCAATTCTATGTTGTATTGCATTGTAATTGAGTTTAATTAAACTCCAATTAAAACGCAACTCTGTTTACGAACGCGTTTTAATCGAGTTCATATCGCAACTGTATTAAGAGTTAATTCAACTAAATTAAAAGTTAATCCAATGTGTGGCGTCAAACCTACAGTTACACTTGTATGTGTGGGTGTGTATGTGTGTTTGTGTGTGCTCGAGAAAACTAAATCATGACAACAGTGTCGTTTATAATGCTGCAATTTACGGGTTCTAGATTGAATAACAAATATTTGCATTGTTGAAAAACAACAATAATAATGATTGTAAATTATTTCGATAAAATTGCACCAAGAAGGGTTACAAATTTCGATCAGATTTCGAAAATTGTAGGCGGCCTTACTATGATAAATACACATCGTTGAACATGTACATCAAATGTAGGCTCATTACTACGAGAAAATCTGACAAAGTTCAGTTTAATGTCAATATTATCAATATAGTGTGTATAGTGAGTACACATCATTTAACCTATTACATAGATGTACTTTTGACATCCATCTAGTGTCTACTTACAGGACTCATCTTTGATACTAATGTCATCGATTGCGAGGTCACTTTCAAATCCACTTCCTCGAATTCCTTTGAATACAACGCGCCAAAACTCGTTGCTTACAATATCTACCGAGGCCTTCAACCACGTATCGCCCTGATCGCCAGTGACACTGAACAAGGGGGCACTAATAGTAGACGAGTTCTCGTAAAGTAGGGATACTTCCAATGTGCCCATATCGGCTCCATACATGTGGTACCAGAACTCCAGACAGGCTACCGGAAGTCTGTGGAATGGTGGGGTGAGTACAAGAGCCTCGTCACCCGCAACTCGGGGATTGGACGCCTCTATGTACACGTAATAGCCTGTAAACAAACAGATGGGTTAGGGTCTGTCATTCGTACCAGTTATAGGTTACAGTGCAAAGCTACGTAACTCGTAATTGGTCAGTCTATTGGTTAGTACTCAGATTTTCATATAGTATTAAAAAGCCGAATTAAAACTCACTAATATCACAACCACTAATAAACATTGAAATATGTAAAGTTGATATTTGACAATGAAAAGTTATTACTGCACTGCTTTGCAGGACTCGGTGAGAGAAACTGCCAAAGAAAGTTGTCATTTGGTAAAAACAATCTAATTTGTGCAGTTGTGAACTTTTTTACTAAATCTTTAAACATTTAATTACGGCCACTATATATTCTATATATTCTTTCTTAATTTAAATGGGAATCCATTCTCTGAACGCGGGTGGGTGAATAAGGGTTAACATAACTATAATTCCTTGCAATGCACCTGACTATGATTATATTTCGTGCCGCTTTTTCAAAGAAGATATGAAGGATTAAATAATTGCCTGTCACAGTTCAAGTGAATATCACATATATTGAGATCGGTTTCACTTCAACTTACCAGTACCCAGGGTATGGTCACCGGATGGACCAGTCGCAGCACTACTTGTCATTCCAGAGTTCCTACTCCAATCAAAGTCATCACGAATAGCTTGGACCATATTACAGGATTCGTCGGCCTCGAAGTGGCAATCGAATGGCAAGGTTGTTGCTGTGATACAGAATAAAGATAAAGTTTATACATATATAAAAACAAATACCTGCTCTGCATCAAACCCCTTCGTTACAATATTCCTAGTAACAGTCGGGCAGTAATCACTTATAAAGACCTCCAAATATCAAGCATACCATTGCATGGCAGGCAAATGTTTTAATTATTTTAAATACCATGCGATCTAGCAAAGGTTAGATTTTTTTGATCATTTATTTATTGTGTGCCGTGAGCTAACTGTGAACAAGGCTATAAATTACGGATCTTATGGGACACAAAAATACGATATAGTTTCGATAATTGAATATCTAGTCTAAAGACAATGGAAAGCTTTTGGTACTTTTAGATTTAAATATGAAAAAAAATAACTGTGCCAATGACTCATATCAATGGGAAAACAAATGCGATGTTTACTAACATGAATAATGCTAATATGAATATTAAAACAACTGCTGGGATCAATGATCTATTTCATAAATACTGTATTGTCATTTTTAGAACATGTATTAATCAAATTTAAATATTTGAAATAAAAAAATTAAATAAATAAAAATCAAGATCACTTTCAAGTGTAACTTCACTTAAAGCTTGCTTATTCCATCCTGTATAGAACTACACCACATAATAAAGTAATTGACTAAGAATATCACAATCAATTAGCATAATCAATAGCAATGATTATAGTCGGTACAAGTATATGGTGGTTGATTAAGATTCTACACATTTGTTGAAATAAAGACTAATGCTAGCCTATATTACAGTGAAGGTGATTATATCAGTTATTGACTATATGCTAGAATTATCAATATGTCGGGTTTGAGGGAAATATTTCTCAGCAAAGTACTAGCGCTTCATTGATTGAGTTTGGAGTATAAATTTAAAGCGGGGGAGTCGTCACCTGCGCATGCGTCAGGTGGCCATAGCGTGTCATTGTTTACAAACAAGCGTCCACCCACGAGCCTTAACGTTCTTAGCGTGTGTTCTTATCGTCGTTTGGGACTCAATTCCCATGCGTGCGCAGGTGACGACCCTCCCGCTTTAAGCTCCGACATATTGACAAATAGTAAGCATCGCGCCATCTGTAGTAGCCATGTTATAAATATGGTGAAACGAGTGATGCATCAAGTATAATCATCTTCTCTGCACAAAATGTAATGACACATATTTTGTCAGGTCTGCTATTTTCACGTGTAATTTCTAGTAGTGGAAAATAATTATAAAGCACAGATAAATTGTGTCGCAACTAATTCAACGCTATACCCAAATATGCACCACACTAGAAAAACAGTAAACTTACCTTCTTTTTCGTACTGAAATACCCATGCATGGAAGCCACCCGCAACAACGCTGCTGTCAGAGACAAACTCCAGTGTGACTTGTCTCTCGAG